CTATGAGAGATGGCCACTCTATTCCAGCCTTGTTTTAACATTTTTTCTGGTTCTCTAACTCCTTGATAGCTACCAGAAACAATCAAATTTAGCTCATCAGGGGCTGGGGTTGTGGCTTGAGCGGTGGCGCACTTGCCTAGCATGTGTGAAGCACTGGGTTCGATTCTCAGCACCACATAGAAACAAAATATATTGTGTTCACCTAAAACTAAAAAATATTTTTAAAAAATTAGCTCTTCTCAGTTTACACCAGACACTGAACTTGAGGGTCTGAATCCATTTCATCCTAGGAGTGCTCTTCTGAGAGGACCCTATTTGTAAGTCCATGTGTCTTGCCAAGGGCTCCCCTCTCTGAACTTGGGAGCATGAATCTCTCAAAGGGGTGCTAAGGCATCTGTGAGCTGTGGTAAGTTGTAGCTTAGTGCTTCTTTCTGTACACACTGTGGGACCTGGGATTACTCTAAGGACTATTCATAGAAGTCCACAAAGGAGAACTTAAGTCTTTTAAGGTACAGCCTCAATGCTTATGACAAGCATTTGGTGTTTCCAGCCCTAGGTGTGGCTCTTCAACCTGCTATGGCACAATCATTTGCCCCATTTAACTCTTCTTTTCCCAAATGCTTCTGCCCCTACAGGGCTTTTTGTCTATGGGCTGTCATTTAGTGAAGGAAGTTCTCCAACATAGTGCCCAAGATGCAGGCCTACCTAGTGCAGGGCCAGAAGTCTGCCAGTGCCAGCCAGCTACAAAGCAGATGCACTTTGACCCTTTGTTGAAATATTACCTGGAAAAGTTTTTCCGTTTCAAAGTCTTTCATCTTTTATTAGGCGCTCCTGCTCAGGGACAACAAAAAAGGTTCCAATTACTGCTAAGTCCTAATGATCTCCTCTCTCCACCTGGAATATATTTCACACAGCTGCTCATGTATCTGCACCCTCTTTCTCCCATTTCGTCTGAGGCACTTACCTCAGAAGCAGAAAGTCCCTGGGAATTGTATCCAGAGTGACCAAGCTCTCAACTATCAAACCTGTTTCAGTCTCATTTTCTTGTAAATTAATCATTTTTGAGTCCCCAAATGTCACTGCTCCAAAGGCCTGAGATCTACTCCCATCTCACTGATAGAACAAGAGACATATTCCAAAAGGGGAAGGGATGACCTGTAGAGGGTCAGGTGTTCAAGGAACTGAGGCTCTGGTCTCTTTCTCCTTATGGCTGAAATTCTCAACAGCTGCAAAGGCCTTTCTACTGGAGGATGGAGTAATTGTTCATTCAGCAAAATACTTTATTGCAGAGAGCCCATGAATTGTTCAACTTTCAGGAATAAGGTTTACACAGCCTCTCAAGCATGTGATTGGCTGAGGGTAAGTAACTTCTGCCAATACAGCTAAGTACTGTCTGATGCCACGTTTCAAAGTTTGATTTTTGTTCCATATTTAGTTTAAAACAACAGGTTGGGCATTTTTAAATTATTTCTCTAGCAATTTTTCCTTCTACAGAACATACCTAACCATTCTTTTGGGAAGAGGGGTGGCATGTAAGATAGAGGCTTGAGGTCCAAAGATTCCAGCAGTGTTGCTGCACCCATGAGGATGGTCCTTTTTCCTACACACAGTGGGCTAAGGGCTTCAAGTTCTTTCCTTCTCTGTGGGGTTAGCTTTAGAAATTAACACAAATGGCTAGTTTGATTTTGCTTGGAATACAGAAAGCCAGAAGTGGGGCCAGGTACAGCAGCACATGCCTGTAATCCCAGTGACTCAGGAGGCAGGAGTATCACATGTTTGAGGCCATTCTCAGTTACTTAGCAAGACACTGTCTCAAAAAGATAAAAATGTCTGGGGATGTAGCTCAGTGCTAAAGCACTGCTGGGTTCAATCCCCAGTACCCCACCCCCCAAAAAAGGCAGTAGTGCAGACTAGGAGAACCCATGTCAGATGGGTTGCCTGTCAATGGAGGCTGGCACTGAGCCCACAGACCCAACTGGTTCTAGGACATCATGTTGAGTCTTTTGCTTATCTAATCAGATTTGTGTTCTTAGTCAATATTCACTAGGTCACCAGAGCCTCTCCTCAACCCGGTAAAGGTTTTTACTTAGTCCTATACCTGGGGTCATCATGTTCAAACTCAGGGATAAAGGAAGGGAACAACAAATTAAGTCTTGAATTTTTAGGATTGGTTAGTTGGGTTCAATGTCTACTTCTCAAACGTTCTAAAGTTGAAGCAGTGGTGCCCACTCTAGGCCTAGTTCCATGGTCCCAAGAGAACTGGAACCAGGACAGACAATCTGTGGACACACCCCACCTTCTGCCATTTTTTAAGGTTCATCATACTACCCTCTTCTCCCTTGGCAAGAAGCATCCTCTTACTTGCACGGCTGCTAGAGACCTATTATTAGAATTCTATTAGTGACTATGTCCATGTCATGTAGCCATACTACTCCTGGTTTACATAACATGTCCTCTCTTGATCCGGACACCTGCAGTGATCCCTGCTAATGGATGTTTGGGGCTTTTTAAGTTCTCTTAGCCTTGTTCCTGCAGCCCTGAGGCTGTTGGAAGAAAATACTCTACCAAGACCCCTAATGATTGGGAAGGAGACCCATAATTCAATGTTACTACACAAGCTCTCACAGATTTAGGTGCTCCTGTTACCTCCCCATTCCTATCTTCTTAAAAAAAAAAAAAAAACAATCTATATAATCATTTATTCAGTTCACCCATGGCTCCCCTACCAGTTTTGACTGCACTCCCCCTGAAAAAGGTAGACTAGGTTTTAAATTTTCCATAGCCAGGTCTTCCCAGCTGGAAGATGAGATTGTATAGATATTAGAGTAACAAACCATCTATGCAGCTGGGAGCTCTGGGGCACTGTAGACTGTTTGCTGAAATCTCCTTTCACAGAAGAGAGACCAGGGCCATATCCAATTGGCTGTACACAATACATCAGGACTTCTTACCTAGACAAGGATGAAAGAGGGCATCATTTCTGAAGACTTTATTATTAGAATTCTATTTTGATTAGTGACCTCACAGAGCTATTTTAGGATGGGGGGGTGTGGTTGAACCCAATATTAGCATATGCTCTACCACCAAGCTATACCCCCTAGTGCATTAAACTATTTTAAAACAGAAATGTGGCTAGATTCCTTGTCTCCCTCAGAGGTTTCACGTGGCTTTCATACAGGAGGGGCAGTTTTAACTTTTGTTATAATGGGTGAAAGGGTCCATGCCAGCAACACAATTACTCAAAGTCCAGATGAGAAATCAGTAAATATAACGTGCCTGAAAGGTAGCCCTTGAGCACATTCCTCTGGTAGACATTAACTTATTAAATTGATCCTGATTACAAATATAAACTTTGCTCCTATCTCACCTGGCAACCATGAAGGCAGATGTCTATAAAAGGAAGTGGGAACAGTCTCTGGCTTTTAGGCTCCAACATCCTCCCTCTGCCAAGATGTGGCATCTCAAACTCCTTGCAGTACTCATGATCTGCCTGCTGCTGTTGGGCCAGGTAAGGAAAGAAGGAATATGTGTGGACACAATAGTGGCAGTAGTAGAACTTTAGATGGACCCTGAGAGCTGGACTTGGTTTTAAGGAATGGTTCCTGCTTAATCCGCAGTACCTGGGGATGACCCTTCTTCCAAGGAATGCAACAGTTGTAAACTTCCCTACTTGAGGTGTATTTGTCTTTGCTCCACAGGCAGATGGCTCCCCAATATCAGAACTGAGTTCAGGAAAGAGAAGGTCACGGAGAATGACCCCCTTCTGGAGAGGGGTGTCCCTCAGGCCCATTGGAGCCTCCTGCCGGAACGACTCTGAATGTATCACGAGACTCTGCAGGTACTCTGCAAACCTGGGTGAGGGCTGGGCCAGAGGCCCCTGGGAAACTGGGCAGAAACAAGATGAGGACACACAGAGGCCTAACAATAAAGGGGGACTGAGACTGTGAGCCATGGAGAAGAATCTCTCAGGAGTTAGGAACTACTATTAAAAAGAGTGGTGCCTTTCCTGAGACTGGACAGATCAAGCAAAGACAAGGGAAATGCAGCAGATGCGGCCCTGGGTACTCCTAGATTCAAGAGTCTAAAAACTCATTTTTCCCTCCCCAGAAAAAGACGCTGTTCCCTAAGTGTGGCCCAGGAATGACAAACGTGCCAGGGGAAGAAAGGACAGCAGTCACCTCCAACAATGCTCCGTTCTATGGAATATTGATTAACTGCATTTGGGCTGGAGATACAAAAGTGAAGCAATTTTGTGTTTTTAATATTTAAAGACAGATGTATGCTTTCAATTGGTCTCCATTTCTTCTTAGAATGCTGATATGTAGATAAGTTTATCCGTCTAAGTTTAGAGTTTATTTTATTTTTCTATGGATACTATTAAATGTCTCAAGTTGAAATTCTGGCAGTCTGAAATTCAAACTTGAAGAAGGATTCATTTGGTACAATACAGAAACAAACATTGCCTAATAATGATCTGTTCAACTTCTCCATATGGAAAGTGTGGGGAAAGTTAACAATTTTTCAAGAATCTAATAAAGAATATAATGCAAGTTAAAGGCAAAAAAATTCACAAGAGATATGCAGTCAGTCTTGGCAATTTTCTAAGTTGTGGCCCTGGATCCTGGCCCTTTCCTCCATGTTAAGTACTTTTTTTTAGTTGTACAGGGACACAATATTTTTATTTTATGTACTTATTTTTTATGTGGTGCTGAGGATTGAACCCAGTGCCTCACACATGCTAGGCAAGTACTCTACCGCTGAGCTACAACCCCAATCTGTAAAGAACTCTTTAGTGAGCTATCAAGATAGGCAAGGCTGGCAATTGCCACCTGATGATGTGTACAAGTTTGTTTATGAGTCTCTGAATATGAAGCAGAACTGAAAGAAAAATTTAGTTTAATAAGACAATAAAAGCCTAAGCCGCTGAAAACATCAAAAAGGAACCGAGATTTCTGTTTAGGGCAGGGCAATTGTGGACATTACACAAGGAACCAGGCCAGAAAGTTCAGAATTTCTGTAATCAGAAAATGTGACCTGTGGTGGTGGGGCCAGACTTTAGTAGTGCTGGACCCTAAAATACAAAACAGCAATTGCATGAAAAGGGCAAAGTAAGAGCTGAAGAAGTCTAAAGTGCACAGTGTTTATAAACTTTAATACAGAAAATCTATTTGATATTTATTAAACTTAGTTTCTCCAGCTATGGTTTGGCATTATACAAAGCATCTTAATGACACAGAGTTAAAAAGATTTTTACAAATTGAAATGTGATACCCTTGTCTCCAAATATTTTAATTGCCATAAATTTGTTTAAAAATACACATTAAACGCATGTTTGACACTCTAAACTTTCTATAATCTCAATACCACAAAATACATATAATATACTATACAGATGTGGAAAAATCTAGTTAGTATATAATACTTTGCTCACCATTAACAGCTTTATTATGTGAAATGCACATACTGTCTTAAAAATCCAAGCTTTTGAGCCCCAAAGTACCTCTGAAATTTTAATGTATTGCAACAAATAAAAATCACAGTATATAATTGAAATTTTGGTTGAAAATGTCAGATGCCTAAATATTTTGGATAAAAGAAATGTAAAACAAAGATTTGGATCATGTACAAAACAAAGGCATCCTATTAGTCACTAACAGTACCTTTCTGCAGAATTAACAGGCTTATAATTTATCAACAGCATTACCTCCCCTTCAAAACCCTCCCCAAATATCAAACTGTTATTTACCAAATAATTTTAATTTCAAATAAGATAAAAGGATTTCAATAAATATATAAGCATTTCCATCCTCCATATACAAAATTTCTTAAAATCATTCAAAACGGAGGCTAGGTAGAAATTTCCCTAACTGTGCTTACCAACCCCATATCTGGCCCTCACAGGTGGTGCCTTCCCAGGCACTGCCAACAGGGCCAGCTCTGTTGGTGAGCCCCTGCCCCCACCCCCCAATCCCACCCCAGTACTGTTGAATGCTCATGTCGATGATTTGCCAGATGTGTGCATAAAGTTGTAAAATGGGGACACTTCTTGAACAGCAACAACGAACTCAACAATATGGATACTCAAGGCATTGATTTGAAAGGCAGCATCTCCGAATTGGTATTTTCCAAAGAGGAACATAGCAAGTAGAAACCACATGGAAGCATGAAAAAGTAAAAAACAAATATTACTCGAGTTTCTGGGTGGGAGTGTTTCCCTGCTCATTTGGAGAGCTTTTCTTGGTTTTGTTTTAAAGAATGTCATTTATGCTTAGCTGAGCAACAGTGGCAAGGAGAGGCCCATGCTGATATTTCTGAAAATCAACTTCTTTATATGACTACTCAGGCTGCTATTTTAGGATGCTTAAACATCTACATGACTTGGTTGAGACCTAGCCTGAATACTTTACTCTGTGACCAAATTCCATTAGAAGAGGAGACTTAGCTATTCCCATTCCCGTTTCGGGAGACACCAAGTACCTTTTCTAGGGGACGGGGTAGGGGTTGTGGGTGGCACAGTACCAGGGATTGAACTCAGGGGCACTCAACCACTGAGCCACATCCCCAGCCCTATTTTGTATTTTATTTAGAGACAGAGTCTCAATGAGTTGCTTAGTGCCTTGCTTTTGCTGAGGCTGGCCTTGAATTCATGTTCCTCATGTCTCTGGATTCCCTGGGATTACAGGAGTGTGCCACCATGCCCAGCTTAGCAAGTACTTTTTAATTAACCATCTGGTTTATGTGAATGGATTTATGTGAATAGGAGCTAGGTAGACCATCATTCCTTTATGAACTTATAACAACTTACTGCCTGTGATTTGCAGCTTGGTTTTCAGGGTCTAACAGGCTAAACCAAACTTCTTTATTATTCACAAACAATTTATTTGGCCTCTTGTCACTGCATATTCAAGCCATTGAATGACTGACTATTCTACTCATTTTACTGAATAGCAACCTCAGTTGTGCAACATAATTGGGGTGGGCGGGGGGAGTCTGCCTCTCCAACACATTGATACGTGAAGTTGAAATGAAATCTGTTTTCCACGTAACTAAGGAATATATATAAGTTATAGGAGTCTGTATGGATTTGAAATGTCCTGGCTCCCCAAGTTACTTAGTTTAGTTAGTTTGTTTTTTAAAGCATCATCACAATCTGCCTAAAACATTCATCCCCAGTAGATGTTCCTGGGACCATACTGAAACTCCTATAGATCAAGATACATAATGAAGCCATTTTGTTTAATTAGCTACTGGAAAATCAAAATTCTTCCCACCCTGTAAGAGCCCTATTACACTACAGAAGGGCTGAAATATATTTTAAAAGTTAATTTACTACAAATCATAGCAATTAAGTTTTAACAATCTAAAGGAATACACATTGCACCCTTGAACATTAATATCCAAGGTGTCAACAACAAAGTGTCTTAGATCAATTTAATAAATAATGTGGAAATAGTTGCACTAAGCTAAAATACTAAACACACACATTTTTGACAAACTAATTTCATGTTTTCATACATACATACATATATATAAAGTGTGTATGTGTACATAATTTTAAGAGCCAAAGTTACATACCCTCATACCTGGAGAGTGCACAGCGTACCCTCCTCTACACAGCTAGACATCACTGATGGGAGCAACTGCTGGCTGCTCAGAAAATGCCACCAAGTACTGGCCTCTGGAGCCAGAAATCTCACTGACAACAGTTGCCTTCTGTAGGCTCTTGCTTCACAATGCAAGCTCATTCATTAAAAGTTAATGTACCAAAGTTTCTGCCATTAAATACAAAATGATCTGTCTAGCTGATTAAAACCTTTAATGAAAAGAAATGAACAACAATTAAAAAACAGTGAAATCTACTAAAGCCACAAGTGTGTCATTCAAAGTGCAGCCCAGATGCCTAGTGCAAGAGCTCCCCAGAAACACAGGCATGCATGGGCACGTGCACACATTACTCTAAATTCCTTATATATTGGAGAATTAAAATCAGTGGTGGTCAATCTTCTCTGCTCTTCAGGAGCTATAGCTGTAAATTTATCTGAAGTATTCACTGCTTTATAAAGTAACTTCTTGGCTCCTTGCCTAAAAAAAGGTGGCACTGAAGCAAGGAAAGGGCTAGATGTTCTCCAGCCAGACTGGTCCCTGGGTTGGGCAAGATTGAATCACCTGAAAGGGATACCGCACAGCCTAGCCCAGGCAAGGCTACTGTGACAATTTCATCCACTGCAACCAGTCTGTTGGTTGCCTATAAAGAGTCCAATGGTGTAAACTGTAGCCTCCTGGCATACAGGTGTGGTCTTAAAGAGCAGTCAACAGTAATTTTCAAAATAGTTGCTACTTATATAACTATATATTAAGCAAAAGTCTCAGACTAAGTTTGTTTTTAGCTGCTTGTCAAATTCAGTTTAAAATGATTAGAAAACACTGAGGATGCCTCACCTATTGAGGAGGGAGGAAATGGTCACCTGTAATGGAGTCCAAAGTATGTGCTAGAGCAGATGACACAGAACATTTGAAATGACTGAGGAAAGGGAGTGGTATTTCCTCAGACTATGACATTAAAAAATCAATTATTTAGGATAGGATTTTGATCCATTGCCCACTACCAACTGGTAGAAAAAAGAAAAGGAAAAAAAAAACCCTCCACATGAAAAAGTTGAACAAGTCATTCTCCAAGAATTAACAGTTTAAAAAAAAAACATCTTACAGCAGCACCATAACACATAGGAAACTCTGCTTTAAGAAAATATCAGTGTGACCCCAGAAATGCTCCTGCTACCTTTCAGGACACACAAGAGACTAGAATGCACTGGAACTTAAGAGATGCCTCACTGGCTGTTGTTGCTGAAGTCAAAAAGCCCAGAGGATACTTGTTCCACTTCTAAGACACCACTGCAAATTAAGGAATCAGAGTCAGAGAAATAAGAGGAGGACAGAACACACACATACTTGATTAACATCTGTTATTTCTTACTAAATTACTATCACAACGGCTGAGAAGTTGTCCGTAAGGAAAACTATTCCTAGAATACACTAAGATTAAATTAGAAAGATATCAGAGGCAAATTCTCCAAGGGAAAAGGTTAAATTCAACATAATTCATAATCTCAATCTTCAAAGATATGTAAAAATAACTTGAGGTACAAAACAGTTAAGAAGCTCTATAAATATGAGGCCACAGGACAATGAAAGTTCACTAGCTTCAGAAATAAACGTTAAGAGAGACCCAAGCAGAGGATTCACTGCACCACTAAACTGGGAGATTCTCTATCCCTTCTTTCCCCTTTCAAACCTTAGCAATATCTACAAAGAGTAGGGCAAGCTTTCCCCCCTCCCCACCCCCAGTTGGATGTATTTGTTTTTGGAATAAGGAGTACAAAGCATTTCTTGAAGCAGCATTACCCAATTGGTTAGACTAAGTCATGTACCAACATATTAGCTTTTCTGAATTAATCTTTTTATGTCTGTAAAGGAAGTTTTATTTTAAATGAAAGAATTCAACATTATTACTACAGAGGACCAACCATGTATTGACAATCTGGTCCTAGTGTAAAACTTCATCTGTAAACAATCCACAGAGTCTTCATTTAAAAGTAATATTAAGGCACACCAGACATGATAGGGGCAGTAAAAACAAAGTATAGAGGGTATATCTCTCATCCTCGACTCCTATATGCACCTTGTAGGGAAAGGAACATTGATATACAATTCTTACAGAGCTGGCATCTTAAGCTCTATCCCAGCTCTCCTCCCTTTTCCAAGAGAGCTCACATTAAACCAAGTTAGGTGGCACTTTTCTAGTATGAATTTTCTGATCCTATCAGAAAAATACATCACTGATGAGGGCCTTTAAGAAGGAGAAATTCATTATCTCTACATCAGGCATTAGAACTGTAACTTGTATAGCAAAACCACACACACCACAGCTGCAGGCCATTCCCACATCAGTTACCAATGCTCACTTCAGAGCATTACAATCTAGTATAGGGGAAAAATCTGCAAAGAGATTTTAACCTTCGAATATTATCAATTAAAGAGACATAGGCAGAAACCCTCAGGAGTTGGATCATACCTTTTTCAAGATTAACTTAATCTGCTTCAATTGTGTCAAAGAATAAGCAACAAAAGAGAATACATGGTTTTAATAAAATTCTTAAAGTTTAAGATTGTCTTTTTATGAAACCCTTCAATATGTGCTTCTCCTAGAAAGTTTGCCTACTCTTTTGTAATGCATTAAATGCAAGTTATGGTCACCTTGTGATTGCTGTAGTGTTAACATATTCACAGTTTTTGAAATAATGCATACCAAATCAGACACATTTCATTTTATATCCACATAAAATGCCATCTTCTCATCTTTAAGTGACTTTTCATGTGTTAGAAAGATATGCTTAATACTAAGCATAAATTTTACAATAATAAAATTGCAGTTAAGATTTAAAATAATATCAGGTAGTAGGTAGAGAAAGAACATGTTTCTATTTTAGATGAACCAACTCTTACTCATAGAAGAGCTACCACAAAAAGACAATAGGTAACAAGGCTCCCAAAATATATAAATAAAAACACCTACATTAAATTTATGCTAAATATTCAACAGAGTAAATTTATAGGCAGAAATAACTAAGTTTTAAACAAGCCCCAGTCTGGGAACTTAAAAAAATTAAAATAAATAGAATCTCACTTGATTAGTTACGAATTGCAACTGGAATTTCAATCTTATTATAGATCACTAAAACCATCTTATCAATATGCTGCAGATTTAAAAGTATTTAAATAATTTTTCACATTGGGAATATTAAAGGGGTCAATTGATATGATGGCTTTGGGTTATAAACAACACATGAACCAAGGAGGAGAAAACCATTCCTCATTCTTAGTGTTGACTAGGTGGTGTAATGGCAGTTTTCCTTCGTGATGTAACACAGTGTTGTGGAGAAAATCAGAGGCAACAAGAATGTGTTCAGTTCAAGATATCAACTTGGCATCTTGGCGAAGCCAGTGCAGTCCCTGCCGGGTATAACGAGCTAGATCTGTCATGATGCTTGCATTAAAGATGAGTGGGCCCATTACTTTATCCAGTTCAGCAAAGAATTCTAGAAAACCAAAAACATTCATTAAATATTGCACATTCTTTGGAATCACTGTTTTAAAATTGAGTCTAGATTATAAAACAGCATTCACATGACTTCAAAAAACACACCCTCCCCCACACTGTTACACATATACCACTGATAACAATTATAAATTGCTATTTATGCTTTAAAATGAAGACTCAGTACTACACACACAATGTACTATTTGATTATTCAAAATGTTATCTATGTGCCATTTTTATGAAAGAATCAAGTGACATGAAAAGATATTTTTTGTATGTTTCTTATAATAGCTCCTGTGAAATAATTGATAGTCTGTATTCAACCATTTTGTTGTAATTATATGCCATCCACCATTAATAAATTAAATCTCATGTTTTAAGATAGTAGAATAAAATATTAAGAGATAGAAATAAAGATTTTTTGTGAACAAATAAAGGCTGCACGAAAGGGTGAGGGGTAGAACAGTATCCTAAAATTTGATTCTTATATAATTTTGGGAGCAGCTATAATGATATAGGACTTAGACACTAAAAAGAGATTTTAGACATGTAAGGAAAAAAAGGTTTACTAAAGATCTTATGCTATTCAAACAAGATAAGAAGTGACCAAACACTTGCTCATCTTTACAGAATTCCAGCTCATAAATGCAGAAGGTGTGTCAGAAGAGAAAATTCCTGATGAACTATTTCCTAATAGAATAATGGGTCTACTCAGTGATCAAACAGATGTGAAAAGCATAAGTTAAAGTGCAATAGGGAATCTTCTATCAGACTAATCAGGCTGACACCATCTGAATAATCTACTGACAGTATCACTAAAAATGCTATTACATGCCTCTTAATATATATAATGCAATAGGAAATTTAGAACACCACCTATAAAATATTCTTATGAAAATACTGTACTTAGGGCCAGGGTGCAGTTCAGTGGTAGAGCACTTGCCTAGCATGGAAAAAGCCCTGGTTTAATCCCTAACACTGCAAAAAATAAAAAATAAAAAACACTGAACTTGAGGGCGGGAATGTAGCTCAGTGGTAGAGTGTGTGCCTGTGTGAGGCTCTGGGTTCCATCCCCATAACTGAAACAATCACAAAACTGGAACTTGAATCAAATCTCAAGATATAACTTATCAGGGCTGGGAATGTAGCTCAGTTGGTAGAGCGCTTGCATCGAATGCACAAGGCCCTGGGTTCAAACCCTAGCATCAACGGGGAAAAAAAAAGATTCAACTTATCAGTATCAAGGAATTAAGAGAGAGAGAACAGGGCTGGTGCTGTAGCTCAGAAGTAGGAGAACTTGCCTAGCAAGAGTGAGGCACTGGGTTTGATCCTCAGCACCGCATAAAAATAAAATAAAGGTATTATGTCCATATAATATATAAATTATGTCCATAATATATAAAATATTATATATCATAATATATGTGACATATATTATATAATATTATATATTATGTCCATATATGTGTATATATGTATGTGTGTATGTATATATGTGTGTGTGTGTGTATATATATATATATATATATATATATATGAATGAATCAGAGAGAAAAAACAAATTAAGTGACATCATGAGGAAATAATCTGTCAAATCCAGAATTATACCTATTTAATGACCTGGTTTCTCAACATCAATGGCATGGCCAAAACAAAGAAAAGAACAAAAAAGTGGAGGAGGGGGAAATACTCAATGCAATAAAATGTGTAGACTTTGCTTGGATCCTGTCTGGAATAAAACCAACTGTTAAAAAAAGAAAAGAAAAAAAAAAGGCATGTTTGAGATAGGGAAAATTCGATGGTATACTAGTTATTAGATAATACAAAAGCCTATTCTTAAGTTTGGTAACTGTGATAAGACTTGGTGATCATATTAGAAAAAGTCCTTATCATTTGCCAGGCCAGGTATTATGCACCTGTAATCCCAGAGACTCGGGAAGCTGAGGCAGGAGGATCGAAACTTCAAGGTCAGCCTCTGCAACTTAGCCTCAAAATAAAATAACAAAAGGGCTGGGGATCTCATCGATACAGAACCTCTGTATTCAGTCCCCAGCACTGCAATCAAACAACTAATTTTATCACTCAAGGATGCATACCAAAGTTATTTTCAGGTGAAATGTCATGATATTATATGCCTATTTGCTTTAAAATACTCCAGGGAAGAAAATTATGGGAGAGAAAACGTGTAAGAGCTCACAAGCATGACTAGCAAAATGTTGTTAAAACTAAAGCTGAATGAACGTGGGCTCATCATACCATTCTCTTTCCTTTAGTCAATATTTATGTTTGAAACTGCCACACAAAAAGTAAAAAGAAGAAAAAAAAAAAAGGAGAAAAGATAGAAAACTGGTATCAGGGAGAAGAATTGTAACTGGGGAATTTCAGCCCTCTAACCTTTCCTGGTCAGAACTGACAATATTTCATTCCTGGACAAATTAGGTTTTTAAAAATACAACTATGTTAAATTTTGGGATTCCTCTTCTATTTTTCTCTTACCATTATCCTTCTTTAGGGACAGGAATCTTGCATTTTCATCTGATACCTATTCATATAATAACTATTTAAATGTATTCTGTAATAAAAGAACACTGACTGGCTCTTTCAGTGTTCCTCTGCAAAGGACCTATCTGAATAGGTCTATAGACACATATTTGCTAACAACATCTATTGAAATAAGATGGTGAATATACAGTATTTTTCTCTAGGATCTTTAAATAATTTACATATATTTATAATTTTAAATGCTCCTTGTTTGGAAGATAATGAACTTTTAAGGTACAGAGCCTCAAATGACCTAATTTACAAAATATTAGGGGGGAAAAAAAATCTGTGCCTGTAATCCCTGCAGCTCAGGAGGCTGAGGCAGAAGAATCAAGAGTTCTTCAGCAAAAGTGAGGCATTAAGCAACTGAGTCCCTGTCTCTAAAAAACAAAATAGGGCTGAGGATGTGGCTCAGCAGTCAAGTGCACCTGAGTTCAATTCCTGGTATCCAAAAAAAAAAAAAAAAAAATCTGTTCATTTAACAGTCTCTTTTTGCAAAAATCCAGTTAGAATGTATTTTCTTTATATATTAAGCATCTCAGATGTACAAAATATCTAAATGCAATCCTATGTTTACAGCTAAATTTATTAATCATCTCATGGAACGACATAATTTTATTACTTTTGTTGTATGAATTTACATTTAATATGCCAGAATAGCTCTTTGTCTAAGATAATGGGCATCTATGTTTAGTTTAGTTGTGTCAACAGTATCATGAGAGGTTTTATGTTTAACTAAATTCGGCTATACTTACTGACTGCTAAGCACAGGAGATTATTGGCAAAATGATTATCATTAACCATAAACTAGGTAATAAATTACATACACACCAGTTAAAAAATCATAAAAGTTCCTTTTAACAATTCCATCCCTCAAAGTTTACCCAGAATGCTACTTACCTTTTTGTTCTTTGGAAAGCTGTTCAGCTTGGTCCCAAATTTCAGTGGCATAAAGGAAGTTAGATGTAACCTGAACATAGCTGGCTGCCATCTGGTGGATCTTCTGTGGAATGGTCACTGAAGAGCCACTTGCTGAAGCACTACTGCCCCCAGAAGAATAATTTCCCGAATTGCCTGGTGACAGCTTTGGAGAAACAGGGGAAGGCATCCCAACGGCTTTGCTACACACAGAGAAACAGGAAGCTTGCTCATATGGACAAAGTGAGAGTTATGCAATCCATGTACAATTGGCTCTTCCTACACAAGAGCTTTTAAAATTTAAAGATTCTTTAAGATAAGGGTTCCCAGAGAAGTACAATTTCTTTTAAGTAAGTATTAAAGGCCATTGTTATCTAGAATGTTTGTTTTGACATGGCAACATAACAAGAAATGGGAAGTAACTGAAGAAAGTCATGACTGTTACTAAGCAATTCAAAATGTTCAAAGCTAAAGTCCCTCACTCTGGATCCATACACTTTCCATCTATTCAGGCTTGCAACTACACATTTTTTAAATTGTTCTGGAGAAGAGTAGGTGAAATTCACAATCCTATAAACTATAGTATTAGGTGAGAACATCTTTTCTTTAGCTCCATAATTTCTGGTACTTTCCTAGTTTATCCAAATTATTCAGAGTTGACAAAGAGATACAGCCTTCTCAGTCAAATGCAATCAATCTCAAGCTTCCTGACAATTAAATATTCCTTAGAGATCACGTATATTGAAATCTTCCAGGTTCATTTCAGAAAACTATAATTTTGTAAAAATGCACAAAGCTCTGATCACACATTAAAAAAAAATAAAACCAAAAAAGGGGAGAAAACTTACTTGTTTTACACTTTTATCTGCTTTTTTAGCTATAAATCTGGTTATAGAAATATATACAAGGAAAAGACTGAATGTAGATTCACAGAAACATAATAATTGAATAGATAAAAATAAAAAAATCTTTCATGGTGCTTTTGTATCTTTGGGTGTGGATGGGGTGGGAGTGATATGAGGAGGGAGGAGAAATTACAATCATGTCACTAAATTTTGGCAATGCCAAGACTTGGAGTAAAGTTAAGCCCACTTTAATAAACCCAAGTAACCATCGAAATCCACTGTAAGAAGGGATGAGATGTTGTTTAAAACTCAGATGTCTGTGTATTGGCATGTGTGAGGCCCTGGATTCAATCCCCAGCATATATTCACATATATAAAGATTTAGAGATTAGAGATCTTAATTCCATTTTCATATTTTATATAAACCTATCACAAATAATAATTGATACAATAAATTTTTACCTACCTCCCCAAACCAGGTGATGGTGCTTGAGAATTATTATAAGAATTCTATAGAAAAAAAAAATATTTAAAAAAATCCATTATTAAGTACTAATAGAGCTGACAGTGCTAATAGAGTTGACTTTAAGTAGTTTTATACATTTAAGACACCAAAATGTGTAAATGTAAAACAGAAAGAAATTATTAGGTAAGAGCTGGAATGTTCTACAAGATTTCATATAAGTGGCCAGGAAACAATGAGTAACAGATGGATAAAGGGAAGGTGTGAGGGCATAGGGAAATGAGTCATTCTACGTGCAATGATGGCAGAAAATAAGATATATGTATCCCACATAGTTTGCCTAAAGTAAAGGTTCAGATAAGGAATAAAAGTGAGACCTGGAGGGCCATGTAGACCAAGGTAAGGGAGTATGGATTTGACCCAGTCAGCAATAATGAACTACTGAGGGGCTCTAAATCATAACCAGAGCAGGGTTTTAGGAGGATATTTGTGGTGCTGGACTGAAAAAAAAACATGAGGAGATATTTTAGGAAACTAATAGTCTAAAGAATGGTATTGAAAATAAAAGATAATTTTAAAGGGGACCAAAAAAAAAATCATTTCAAAGTATAAATATGGTTTGTGGCATATAGTTACACAAGTTCTATAATCAGATATATGTGTGTCAAAAAAAATCCCAGGAAACCACGAACGTATTTGAGAGTTCTCAAACAGTATATTCTCCCCTGTGTTTTGCCTAAATATAAGAGCACTTCTGGGGTAGTAGGGAATGGACCCTCCTCTTTCGCAGACTTACCTTCAGGTGCTCTGTCAGTGTCTTTGAGTACTTCAGAGCATTTTCCTTCTTCAGTTTGAAGAGCCTCAGGTACAGCAAAGATTGGCATCTCAGGCTAGCCAAAGAAAAGAGTATCTTATTTACCAGGATAACAGACTCTGACCATATCTGTACAAATAACCTTTGCAAAATGCAAGAATATAGGACTGGCTCGTGTGAGGAAATCATGGTATAAGATCAACAATACTAACCCTTAGGTAAAACCAAAAGATGTATTCTTATTGTGGTACACACCATAGGAAAGGGAAGACGGATAAGAAACTTGGTTTTGGCCTCCCATTAGTTGGACTAATGGGACTCACAGGATTCCAAAGTGTCATTGTAACACATGCATTACAAAAAAAAAAAAAAAAAAAAAAAAAAAAAAAAATCACTAAGGGACAGAATTACATCATAAATAATCTAAAATATAAAAAATAAAAATTAGGAAAAACAACTCTGATAGAACATATGAACCTTAACAGGCTTTTATAAAGGCCCTGTGTGACCATCCCTCTCTACATATCCAGTCAAGTCCACTTCTCACTGGCCCTCTTTTAGTTCCTTCAAAGTTTCCTATTCATTGTACTTCTGCCTTGCTCCCTACCCTCTACTCTTATTCTTTTGTTTTGTTTTTGGTGATACTAGGCTCTATCACAGAGCTACATCCTTATCCTTATCCCTTTTTAATTTGAGACAGAGTCTCAAAAGGTTACCCAGGTTGGCCTCAAATTTGTGACCCTCTCCTGCCTCAGCTTCCAGAGTTACTAGAATAATAGGCACATGCCATCATACTTGGCTTTTTTTTTTTTTTAATTACATATACTTTTTTTTTCAAAGTATTTAATTCATATCTTGTGTGATTATTTAATTTCTATCTCCTCACACTAAACTGTAAACCTCAAGATGAACAGGACTGTGTAAGATTTATTCACAGTAAGATAAATTCCCAATATTAAACAAAGTGCCAAGTAAAGTACATAACCAGTAACTGATAATACCTTCCAGGAACAAAACAAACTTACTAACCTACTTATTATTTACTAATTTATTTATGGTACTCAGAATTGAACCCAAGGGTGCTCTACTACTGAGATACCATAGCCTTAAGTTGTCTAAGCTGGCCTCAAAATTGAGATCCTTTCACCTCAGCCTCTTGCACATCTGAGATTACAGGCATGTGCTGCCATGCCTGGCTGGAACAAAACAAACTTTATATCATATTCTTATATCCTTCTAAGGAGAGGTACGTATATGAAAGGACTGAGAGGGCATGAAAAGAAGTGCAGGAAAAAACATCATTTCTCTTCTCTAGGGAAAAAAAAATATTTTAAACAGTAATAGTAGAAGCAGTAACACCTCACTGGAAGACATCATACACATCCCTCATGAGAGGATTCCAATATCAATCTCATCCTACCAAGACTTATCAAGAGGGCAAGAGATCAGAAATTGACAACTAAAATCTTTCAGTGGGAATTTTGAGTTATTTCCTGCTTGACTCACTGAGAAAAGGTTTGTAACAGGGTTAATAAGGAAGGTTGATTCAAGGATAATACTCTCAAGGCATTCAAGACATACACAGTCCAATTTATCAAGGGCTACATGTCATTTATCAGAGGGTGGAACACACAACACTTACCAAAGTACTGTGAGTCTTTTATCTGCAGCTGTGGCATCTGGTGCCAAGTAATTCTTTAGCTTCATAGTGTATCTATGATTAAGATAACATACAAATGACAAATAGAATATAAAACTTCCCTTTGATCTCATGATTTCCTTTGTCCTCAAAGCATTAGAATCAAACCTAAACATCCACTTAAATGCCTACTTCTCCTTTCCCAAGAAAAATAAAGGACTAAGCATCCTCTTCAGCATATATGGTTATATCAGCCTCTTCTTACTCAGACCAGAGAAATGATGTTATTGCCAATGATGTGGCAAATTCTTCTACTTACTTGATAAGCTCCACTGTGTCTGAATACATAGGGAATGGGGATTTGGATTCCTGAGCATTCTTCTCTAATGCATTCCCACATTCAATGAAAGATACCACAGCATCAAGATAGTATACTGCTTTTTCAAACCTATCGGACTAAAGAAAGGATTAAAGTAGTTAGTGGTGATCTACTGTAAGTAAAAACAACAAATGGGGATTTAAGTTGATTTGATTAAACACATAAATATAAGGAGAATATTTACATACCAATGCATCTGCATTGTGCTTTAGCTTTTTTGCTTCTTGTAGATAATGGTCTGCTGAATAATTTCTGCAATACACATTTTCATTTTAAATAAAATGGTAAATATTTTCATTAAGATAATACTAGTTTACTTCAGTTTCTAGTATCCCTTCATTTTCACATCAAGTTAAAAAAAAAAAATCATTAAGCATTTGTTTCTATTTTTTTTTTTTTTTGGTACCAAGGATTGAACCCAGGGGGCGCTTAACCACTGAGTCTCCTCCCAGCCCTTTTTTTTTTTTTTTTAATTCTGAGACATGGTCTTGCTAAATTGCTTAGGGCCTTGCTAAATTGATGAGGCTGGCTTTGAACTTGTGATCCTCCTATCTCAGCCTCCCAAGTGGCTGGGATTACAGGTGTGCATCTCTGCACCTGGCTGGGATTTTTGTTTTTTTTTCCTGAAAAATGTTTATATCAGGTTAAGAACATACATCATTCTGACCAACTGATGGCATATCTTCCCAGAAAAATCAGAAATCAAACTCCCTAATGTTAAATACTAAGTTCGTCAAGTTATTTTAAAGATTAAGAATAAATACAGGGCTGGGGATGTGGCTCAAGCGGTAGCGCGCTCGCCTGGCATGCATGCGGCCCGGGTTCGATCCTCAGCACCACATACAAAGATGTTGTGTCCTCCAATAACTAAAAAATAAAAAAAAATTAAAAAAAAAAGAATAAATACAATGTGGGTAGGAGAAATAATATTTTCTCAAAATGCAGGAAAAAACCATCATTTCTCTTCCCTAGGGGGGGAAAAAAACTATTTTAAACAGTAAGAGTAGAAGCAGTAACAGCTCACTGGAAGACATCATACACATCCCTCATGAGAGTCATGGAGTTAAGTTAAAGTAGCAGTAGTTGGACAACTGAGTGCCTTTCAAGTTAAAATCAGAATATTCTGTGGATCACATACAAATATTAATCCTCTGATCACTGATAGAAATTAAAATGAGTTTCTTACATGCTGACTGGAATGATTCTTGGTTGTTTTGTTTGTTTGTTTGTTTGTGGTGCTAGAAACTGAACCCAAGGGCTCACACATGGTAGGCAAGTTCCCCAACCTTTTAATTTTATGTTGAGATAGAGTCTTGCTAAGTTGCCAGGCTGAGACTTCTGAGTCACTGTGACCAACTTGTAATGATTTCTCAAATGCATTTTTAAAAATCTTATTTATCTCACCTGTCATCAAAGGCAAGCTTTGTTCTCCGAGGCTTAGAAGCATCAGGAGTCGGTGTAGATGGAGGACAGTTAGAGGAGCTATTTGGAGCCTTTTCCTGACCAGAAAAATATATAACTATGTTGAAAACTGTGAAATTAAAAATTAAGCGAAGAGTATTTCTTCAGTCACTGCTAAAATGGAAACAAAATTCTATTGCCTTTGGTAATTGATTTCCTTGTGTTATAAAACTTCTATAAACTTTATAATGTAAACTTTTTTTTAAACAGAATGGTCCATTTTATGTTACCAAACTACTCATCCTCATATTTATTAGAGTCTACTATGTGCTAGGCAATGGGCAAGGAACTTGTTAAAAACATAAGACAGAAACCACATACCAAAATGGCAGTACTTCTAAGGGCAAAATACATTAGTAATTACTGGTCATTGAAAACAGCAATAACAATATAATGTTTACTGGCTGTTTATTACATACCAGACACCAAGCTAACTAAGTATAGTTGTTAATCCTTCAAAAACCTCATAAAATAGGTACTGCTATTAGACTGAATTTTTTAAAAAGCAGTTTCAAGACTGAGTAACTTGTCTAAGTTCAAATAACCATTTTTTTATAATTTCACGATGCTAGGGATTAAACTTGGACCTCAACACATGTTAGGAATCAAACAAATTTTAAGTGGCATATCTGGAATTTGAGTTTAAAAACCCAGATCTGCCTGATTTCAAAAGCCTAGCTACTTTTCTTACATTTTTCTTTGTTTCCTATCAACATGTCTATTCTGCCTCCTTCCAACATATCCCTTTATGCAAGCGTTCTTCCTTTCTCTCTTTGCAAATGCCTTCCTATTCAGCCCTATACTTTTGAATTTACAATCTCCCATAATAAAACAGTATAAATTAGTAAAATTTAACCCATGAATACACAAATGTTTCAATAGTAGAAAAACTGGATAATATATAATTTTATTAATTGTGCTTAAAATATATTTAAAAGGAACCATGTAATAATTTTTTCAGTTCCATGTATTATAATTTACTTCAAGAAATGAAAATACAAGTCTTTTAAGATTTGAAAAAATGCTAAAGTTGCTTATGAAGTGGCTTTTTTGTTGTTGTTAGTGGCAATACTGGGGATTGAACCCAAGGAAGATCACTAACTACTGAGCTACATTCCCAGTCCTTTTAATTTTGGACAGGGTCTTGCTAAATTACCGAGGATGTTCTCAAACTTGCAATCCTCCTGCCTCAGCCTCCTGAGCCTGGGTTTACAGGCAGGTGTGGCCAGCTGAAATGGCTTCTTGAATACAATGTTGCAGTTGTAATGAGACTAAAACAGCTTACTTTATGTTTTATACATAGTCCTGTAAGTGTCTAAGTTTAGATTTATGTGAGGAAAACTGAAGGTTTCTGAAAATTATTTTTCTTCAACTAATTCATTTAACTGCCTGAGTTGGTAATTGTCAAGACCAACTAGCATTAACAACTTTAATAACTATTAAGTACTAGAAGAGCCTGAGACTAAAATTGGATCTATTTTTTCTCGAAATTGACGGAGTACCAAGTGACTGCATTTAATCCAAAAACATTTCTTAATTCCCCGGTAAGTCAAACACTGAAGAAAACAACAACAACAAAAAAATCTCTGCTGTTAAGAAAATAAAACTTCCTTCATAAAGAAGAGATTTTTATCCTTGAGACAGCAGAAGCCAAATAAGCAGGTGAGTTCAATTAATGTTTTTTATTTTGTTTATTTAAGAAAGGCCTCAAAACCTGCAATGAAAAGACAGGAGATTGAGAAAGAGCTAGTGGGCAACTGGAGAGCTGGAATGGTAAAAGGACAGTCACATCCTCAAGGCATAAGAATTCTCCAATCTACTGTAGAAAAAGGAAGGGTGTTCAGTTGAAGAGCCTGCCTGCTGTACGTATGTTTGAGAAGTTGCTCATAATTTAAATTATCTCAACTTAAAACACTTAAATTAACAAGTTTAATAAGCATGACTAATAGCCTTTAGTAGTCTAATTTTTCAACTTTCAAACATATAGTCACAAAAATCCAGTGAGTTAAACTCCTAAAACTTTAGGTTATTGCCCTAATTCCAGAAATTTGTTCCTGATCAGAATAATCAATACAAACACAAAGCAATCAAACAACCTGGTAACAAACTGAGGGGGAGAGTCATTAAGGTACTGCCTTGAAAAAGCTTCTCTGGCCCAAATAGCCATCCACAAACATGAAGAATATTTCTCTACATTATGAGTCTGTCAGGAAAAATAATATTAGGAATAATTTCAGAACTAGCTTAGCTAAATTTTTTTCTATTTCATGAATAAAGCCAAGTGCTTTGTCACTTTATGTAGTATATTTGTAATATATGATATTCATGTAATATATTTGACTGTAAAATCTAATTCCAAGAAACTTGAAACCCATTTCAAACTACAGACAAGAACTTAATCTTAGCACTGGAACCATGTGGTATTTATTTTGAAAATGTCCATAACCAACTTTTTCAATTATGGGCTTCTATCTTAATTAGTATACATGTGGCCAGCTGACTTATTGCTTTTATGGTCTGAAATGACTGAATCACTTTATCAATACTTTGACATACTGAGAGAGAAACACACAGATCTATATATTTACTGAGAAATTAACAAAGATGTTAAAGCATATAACAAAGATGTTAAAGCACAGTTGTCACCTTGAAGAAATTATAGCAATGAGAGTGATTTTCAAAAGGCTCAAGCTCCCAACATCATACCTTAACCTCCTTGGAGCTACTGGAAGTCTTCCCTTCTGTCTTCTTCTGTTTTGCTGCAGAGGAACTGTTTTTGCTGCTGCCACTATTCTCCTTGTTATTATTACTGCTTGACTTTAAGGAAGATGACTGACTAATAGTCCTCTTCCGAGAGCCATGCTCTGTTTTTGGGTCTTTTGAAGGAACAGGCCCAGCAGGTGAAGGTAACAACTCCTTTTCTTTTGCAGCACTCTGCTTTGATGACCTGCCAAACAAAACAAATGCCCTCATTTCTCTACACAGTAATACAGGGGTGATGGATTTTTCCATTCTCTTTACCTGCTTTCAAGACAAATTTGTTTTTCCCCATCTGATTACTAGAATAAATGATTATTGCAAAATAAAATGAGACTGTAAATTCCATGAGGGTAGGCATCTTGTCTGTTTTTTCTTTCCCCACCCCATTTTTTGTGCCCCCACAAGCAGTATACCCAGTGTCTAAAACATCACCTGACACATAATTAAGCACTTAATAAATATTGGTTAAATAAATGAGCAAACACATGAATGGCAAAAAGATTAATGCTCCTAAGTTAGCAACTGGTCTCTTGCAAGTTATATGTAAGCTTTCCATCTATCCAGAAAGTGATAAAGCTTTACTTAACACTTTACCATACTCACCCCTACTCCATTAAAATGAGAGAGAAGAATACAACCAAATCTTTATGCTTTCCATCCTCAACAGTTAAAAGCAAAAGCTCCCACTATTTAGTATATGTGTGTATGTACATGTATGATATCCACTTACTAATAGGAACACACTGGGGGCATCTCAGAAAGTACCCAATACCAAATGATAAACATGTATTAACAACACTGCATGAAACATGTTTTGGAGACATACTCTCTGTTGCTGGATGGCTTGTGGCCAGATGAGTTCTTTTCCTCTGTTTTGGGTTTTTTGCTCTCACTGGCTCGGTTATCATCTTCATTCTAGATGGAAAAAAAAAAAAAAAACAAAAAACAGCTGGTAGTAGGTCTGATTTTATTTTATTTTTCCATTTAATTTTAGCTATTAGAAATCCGTTAGAAATCTCCAGCTTATCCCTACTAAGATAATAGCAGGGATAATATCAGAACAAAAGTTTGTAAACATTTGCTATAGCAAAAGCCTATTCTCTTATACACAAATGATTAAAGCTGAGCAATGAGACATAAGAAAATTATATCATTACTTTAAAAAAATATTTATTTTTTTAGTTGTAGATGGACAAATACCTTTATTTTGTTTTTTTTGTTTTTACGGGATTTTAAAAAATATTTTATTTTTATATGATGCTGAGGATGGAACCCAGAGCCCTGCACAAGCTAGGCAAGCACTCTACCACTAAGCCACAACCTCAACCCCTATATCCTTCATTACTTTTGACTGGTTCTCCTCTCACTACTATCTGCTTTATCTCCAGGAATTGCCTAAAACATTTATCTTAACAAATCCATGAATTTAAAAAATCTTTTTAAAATTTTTTTTATTTATTTTTAAGTTTTAGGTGGACATAATATCTTTATTTTACATTTATGTGGTGCTGAGGATCGAACCCAGTGCCTCGTGCATGCTAGGCAAGCGCTCTACCACTGAGTCACAACCCCAGCCCTGAATTTAAAAAATCTTAATCGAGTTCCCTATATTATACATTTTATAAAGTCAAAATCTGATTTACAGGTATTGATATAAAAAATCTTCAGAGAAATATATGATAATGAGATATGGGAGAGAAAGGGATACAGAGCTCCTTATTAAGGAAGAACTACATGTTACATATATGCTGTAAAAATTTTAAACAAAAGAGTAAAAAATGACTTTTTATTACATTTTAAATGTTTGGATAGCTTTAAAGAATATGTAATACTTTTTAAGCACAAAAAGACTTTTCCCCCTCCTACACCATGAAAAAACATCCTAGTTTTCTAAGGAACAAAGTCTATCATATATAAACCTACATTCCACATAATTCTATGAATAAAATTCCACAAGCAAGTCCAAGATCTGAGGCTCAGAAGCACAGGGACCAACAGCCCTACACAGCTTACTAAATAGCTTCCCTCATGGATGAGTAAAGCATCCCTATAATATAATAATGGAATCTCATTAGCTATTGTGGCAGAACATGGTAAGAAGTTCAAATCATATGGACAATTTCAATTCTGGAAGATTCAAAAAATGAAAAAGTGAGTATTTTTCTAGTTTGTCTGAATATGTATCATCTGCGCATTGTACTGTGATTTTAAGAAAAGGAAAGGGAAAAAAAAGTCTTAGACTCTACTAGGTTTTAAGGAAATGCTCCCCCTTGTGTGACTCTCAGGTCAACTGGGTTAGGGGCTGTTCTCTAAGTTTATCTGATAAGGCCATTCTGGTACCTACCTGTTCATTTGTTCAAGCTTTACTTTCAGTACTTTGAATTATGTTCACACATATGTACTGGAGTAACTATGCCACCCGGCATATCTACATGACTATAATACTTAAATCTTAGACATCCATGAAATTTCACATTTCCTAGGTCTACAAAAAGCTAACCTTAAACATACTCCAAGCTTTGTCTCTTAAATTGCCTTGAAAATACTTATAGATGAGAGCTGGTATATGCCAGAAAACTTTTTTTTCTCCTTTCTTTTTTCCACTTTAGTGCTGGGGATTGAATACAGGGACTCACAAATGATAGACAAGTGCTCTACCCATTAAGCTATACAACCAACCCCAGGAGATGTTTTTAGTTCTGACTTTGGTTAAAGGAAAAAATATAGAGCCAGGAGAATCACGAGTTAAAAGCCAGCTTCAGCAATGGCGAGGTGCTAAGCAACTCAGTGAGACCCTGTCTCTAAATAAAATACAAAACAGGGCTGAGGATGTGGCTCAGTGGTTGACTGTCTTGAGGTTCAATTCCCGCTACAAAAAGAAAAAAGGTAGGCACAGATGTGGACAGTGAATGAGAAAAATTCTCAAGGATGTGTCAAAATTGGTTACTAAACTTTTGGGGGCTGGAATAGCCCCCAAAAGTTTAGTCATCAACTGTCTTCTGCCCAAACCAAGTGTGACTTGATTTGGGTAGAAGACAGTAAAGAATGATAAGGATTGTATTCCAACTAAAACCACCCACAACCAATATTTTGAGAATGTTACCAAGGCCTGACCACCACACACAGAAGTTCTGGCTCATTTCTTATTTAATTCAAAATAATCCTGGATTCACTGAGGGAAACAGGTAGAAGCAGAGAGGTCCTCAAGAGACTGCTCCATATATGTAGTCTCAACTGGGCCTTGGCTCATGACACATTTTTATTATTCTGTGGCTGAGATTTCCATAGCACTTCAGACTCTGATGTTTAAAAATGAACAACAAAAATCTTTTACAGACCTTGTGCTTGGCTGAGTATAATATAGCTCAGTGGTGGAGTACTTGCCTAGCATTCTCAAGGACCTAGGTTCAATTCCAAGCACTGAAAAAACAAAACAAACAACAAACCTTATGTTTCCTCTTGCCTTTGTTGGAAACTTTTTCTGAGGCTTGCTTCTGAGCCTCTCGGGTGTGTTTTTCTGACATATTTTTCTTTTCCCCCTTGGGTGGTTCAGTTTCTTTATAAGGCTTTCCTGGTATTCGAGTCAAGAGATTCAGGTCAATCTTCACAATAAGTGGATACCTGTCATCAGGCTCACTGAGGGGTGAAAGGAGTTCCTTCTCTTCCATAGGAGAGAACATTCGTTGCCGAAAAAAACTATCTTCTTCCTCCACAGAGGAGGGTTTAACGGGAGTCCTATTACTATCAGGATACTTAGGAGTTTGAGAAGAAGGAGGAAGGCTCTCACTTTCATCTGAATCTGAGGATGAGGTATCTGTTTCTATGATTTCCCTCGATTTCTGGGAAGATTTACTCGTTGACTTGTATTTCTTTTTCTCTGCAGTAGGTCGTGGGGAAGATTTAGACTCCTTCTTTATATTGGGTTTCCTTGAGCCTTTGGTGGCTGCTTTGTGTCTGCTGGAGGGCATGCTGGTAGCCATGTCTACAGGGGTTTCACTTTCTATCTTCAGGCCTCCACGAGGCTCTTCAGCAGCTGCCTTCTCAGCTTTTTTGGGTTGTTTTTTGCCTACAGTTCTCCTCTGTGTTGTGCTGTCACTCTGTGCTGGAGACTTCTGTCTACCACGCCCACTTTCTGATCCCTTTTGGACAGTTTTGGAGTCTCGTCCAGGAGTAGCAGAACTTGTTTCCTTAGGCCCTCCTGGATCTGCGTAGCTATTCCCAGGGCCCTGTTCTCGGCCTTCTTTTTTGTAGCCTTGAGAGGATGGGATGTTACTGTCTACAGAAGACGCTGGTGAAACTTTATGTGGGTTCACTTTATTCAACCAATTATCAAGTTGCCATTTGTTTGTTGGTGGTGGTTCAGGCTGAAAAACAGAAATACATATACTTTTTTTAACATTGAAGTTTTCTTCCTTCTTCATAATATCAAAAAAAAAAGGAAAAACTCTAATGTCTAATCCAATAAAAGAATGTGTTTTTAACTGTTTTGACTGGACTAAAGCACAGGGTGAAGTATTTACTACTAGCTCTAATCACTTGAATGAGCAGATGTTATATGTGGCCTTTAAACAACAAATTCATGTCAGAAATCTAACTTGAAAGGCATTAATTACAGCCAGACATATAATTCCAGCTACTTAGGAGGTTGAAACAGGAAAAATTACAAATTGGAGATTAGTCTCAGCAACTTAGTGAGGTTTTTTTTGTTGTTGTTGTTGCTGTTTTTTGTTTTTAATGGCTGCAGGACTAGGGATGGTAGAGATTGGGTCCCCAGCATGGGGGAGAGGGGAGGAAAAGCATTGTAACAAGAAATCACATAGTATAATTCCAGAAACTAAACAAATAATGTAGGTACCCAAAGAGGTTTTGTTGTTGTTGTTGTTGCTGTTTTGTTTTGCTTTGGAGGTAGGAGGGATTGAACCCAGGGGTGCTTAACCACTGAACCACATCCCCAGGCCTTTTTTAAAATTGTGAGATGTCTTGAGTTGCTTAGGGTCTCACTAAGTTGAATTTGAATTTGCAATCCTCTTGTCTCAGGCTCCCAAGTCACTGGGATTACAGGCGTGTGCCACCACACCTGCCCTACAGGAGATTTTTAACAGGACTTAGCAAGCTACAGTGAAATTAAACTATATAAGACTCCTTTTATCCATAATAACTATATAACATGAATTACTATATAGAGACATAAAAGTAAAGACCAAACTAAAAAAGTCCTTTTTTTTGGGGGGGGGGGGGAACTGGGGATTGATCTCAGAGACACTCAACCACTAAGCCACATCCCCAGTCATATTTTGTATTTTAGAGATAGGGTCTCACTGAGTTGCTAAGCACCTCGCTGTTGCTGAGGCTGCCTTTGAACTCTTGATCCTCCTGAGCCGCTGGGATTATAGGCACATGCGCTGGGCAAGAAATCCAATATTTTAATGATCTGCTAACAGAATTTCAAACAGTTCTTAAATTTGGTGGGGGGGGGGGAGGGGGGGATTCTGTTAAATAATAAACAGAGGGAGGGAAAGGGAGGGGCCAGGGGATTAGCAGGATGGTGGAATGTGATGGACATCATTATACAAAAGTACACATATGAAGACTTGAATTGGGTATCAATATACTTTATATACAAACAGAGATATGAAAAATTGTGGTATATATGTATATTAAGAATTGTAATGCAAAAAAAACAAAGTACATGTATAAAGGCATAAATTGGCATGAACATAACTTTATATATAAAGATACGAAAAACTGTGCTCTATATGTGTAATAAGAATTGTAATGCATTCCACTGTTGTCGTGTATTTAAAAACAATAATAATAAAATCAACCAATTACATAATAGAGTATTTAGTTTTCTTTAAAATACACAGTTCAATTGCTTTTTGTCAGAATATTTAATCTTTTTTCCTATATCTTTTACAGTTAAATCAGATTTTTACCAAGATCCTTAAGAAGGCTTATGAGGAACTCCCTTCTCACCTCAGGAGATGCACTCTGGGATGGTTCATTTGCCTCACTGTCACTGGAACTACTTTCACTCTCTGAATCGGATCCAGAGCTGCTTTCAGATCCACTGTGGCTGCTAGAATCATCCCTGGAGTTATCTGCTCCTTCACTATTATGATGTGAAGGTTCAGAATTACTAAAGGAGATAAAACATAAATGAATAAAAGTTTCTTTTACAATGACAAGAAAACACCCAAATCCAACAACTATCTTTATAATGTTTACTTGAGCTGTTACAATTCAGTGAACACAGAACTTCATTGTAAATGAAATAAACACTTCCTTAAAAAAGTTTCTGATGTACTACTCAGCTATTAATACCTTTTAAAAACAGCTGAAGGTGTAATTTACATACCATAAATTCATGTAGTTTTTAAGTATAAAATTTAGTGATTTTTAGTTAACTTATAGAATTGTTTCTCCACAATCACAACTGACAATATTTACTTTATAAGGCCACTTATTATTACAGTGTTAATCAGGCTGACCTTATTCCTCTAAATAAAACCAAATAAAAGGATGCCTACCTTCCTGGTGTACTCCTTGGCATTGTTTTATCACAGTCCTAAAATTAAAGCATGAGGAAAACTATGAATAAATGAATAGTAGTCTATTTGCTTAGCAATGTGAACAATATCTGAATTCTTAAAAACCACCTTTTCTAACATATGAATCGATGTTCACTTAACACATTATTTTTACTTAAGGAATAACTGAATTGCCAGGATAAGAAATTTATTAATATTTCTCCTTGTCAGTAACCTACTGCTTCATGAGTATGTTCTGACCCACAACAAATGTTAAGGAAAAGTCGAGTTTTTAAAAACAAGGGGGAGCAGGGAATGGAGGTTTAAAGACAGCATAGAAAACTATAATATTCCAGTGTCAGAGGATTATAGGAAGGAATTCATTCTAAATAAGTGAATTGTAAATGTATTATTCAATTATAATTTTTATAAAATACAATGAAAACAAATACTGTATGAGACTGGCAAAATTATATAGTAGTAGACACACCTGTTCCCCATCACTGTCTTCACTGCTGCTTAGTTTTAAGTCATCTTTTAACATACTAGAGGGAAAAGGCAAAAAGGATTATTATATTTGGAACAATTTATCATGGATGCCAGAGTATTAAATATACACCAATACTTGTAGAAATAATCACCATGGTAGCCAAAGATTTAATTAAGAAACACAAAAACGTCTGGTTTGGTTCACATTCAGAGTGAAAACAGAGAAAGGAGGAGTTTAACCATGTCATAAGCTCTAAACTTTTCACGAGTAAAATATTCACCTTTTCTTTCTAATAAAACAAAAATTACTTTCTATAAATTCTCATATTCACTTTTGTTTTCTCAAATTGCATACAGAAGTTTACATCATTACTAAAACAACAGTCCACTGGAGATGTATAACTCCTAAAGGGAAAAAAAAATTAAAGCATCAAACAGTTCTCTCTCTTTGTTCCCAATGTTTCATGAAGAGAAATCTGTGTTGGCAACTAAATAGTGAAAACCAAAAGAACATAATTTCCTCATCCAAAATTCTAATTAACCCATTCTGTCCCATCATTCTAAATGTAGAACACCTATGAAAACAATAAAATAGTATATAATATATAGTAGCATTATATGATAATAATTATTATAATTATAATATACCATTAATTAATAATATATAATATATATAAACTCTAAATTGTTATGTCTAACCATTTTAATGACCTGGGTCAATTCTACTGAAATATTCACAAAATTGAAAATTCTGGACTCAATGGGTTAATAAATAAATGCCTTGTTAGGAAACAGACAGGTGTCCTATATAGAATTAATGATTTTTAATGAGCGTCTTGGTTATAGCAGAAATGACCATGTATGAATTTTGAAAGTCCAAGCTCCAAATCTTCTTGATAAAAATTTAAATCCGTTTTAAAAAAACACACAAATGCTATAAACTGACAGTTTCTTTCTTTCTTTTTTTTTTTTTTTTAAGCGAGAGAGAGAGATAATTTTTTAATATTTATCCTTTAGTTTTCGGCGGGCACAACATCTTTGTTTGTATGTGGTGCTGAGGATCGAACCCGGGCTGCACGCATGCCAGGCGAGCGCACTACCGCTTGAGCCACATCCCCAGCCCTAAACTGACAGTTTCTGAAAGTAAAATTAAAGGTTTAAGTCTTCCTTAAGACCATAAAATCAAAGTCATTAAACTTAAAATTTGAGTAATAACTCATGAAAACTTGTTTTACAAGAGAAGAAAATATTAATACAAAGATTAGGGAGAATTGCAACTAGAAACATATTTACTATCTCATTATCTTTCTTTTAAAAATTTCACTGCATCTCCAATCAGTGGGAAGGAAATCTTCTTTCACTTGGATAATTACATGTATTTTCCCTTGAAGCTCAATCTATATTTATAAATCTAATCCCAATTCCAAGTAGTATACAAAAAGATCACCTTAAAGTTAACCAAATGATTATAACTATGAAAAGTGTTTTAAGACTGGATCAATTAAATGGGATGGGAAAAAAGTTTTCTTTTGGACAAGGGCTTAGTGCATATCTATGACTGATCTCTTGTAAGGAAATGTATTTAATTCTCCCAGCCCTTATGATTTAATAATGGCAGCTCAATGAACCTGTTTACATGTGTAAATATATCAAAGCTTTTACCAGGGGCTGGGGATGTAGCTCAGTTGGTAGAGTGCTTGCCTCACATGCACAAGACTCTGGGTTCAATCCCCAGCTCCACGAATGAATGAATGCATGCATGCATGCATGCATGAATGCATGCAATGCTTGTGTTTGTATATGCATACACATATATAGTTTTTTTAAAAAAAAGCTTTTACCAGACTGTTCAACTTTTGTTCCCTCAGCAATCAAAGTGAAATGCACATATATTGTAGGCATGTATCAAGCTTTTGAATATAAATATGAGTAAGAATATAATTTGAATTCTTCAGCAGTCCTCAGTCCTCCCTTTGTTCAGCTGAAGAGGCTACTAAACTAAGGTGATTAGTGTAGTTTATAGCTATAGCACAGAAAACTGGTGCTGTGGCCATAAATTCTTTAGAAATTGTTTTAATCTCTGAGTTAACTTTTAGTCTCGGGAGTTCAAGAGTTTACTCTTTAAGAGAGAAGTTATTGTTATATTTTCATATATATTACATTTTCATATATATTCCTACCTACAAAATAAAAATATAAAAACAAAGACAGTACCAATTATGTTGCTTAAATATATAACATGGCTAAATGGGGGGAAAGCCTCTCTTTTTAAGATGATTTCTTTATTAAATATAAACTATACATACAAACACACCTCTGAGAGATGAGGAAAAAAACCTGTGATCTCAGAGCAAGGAAAACTATAGCCCACAAACAAAAACCTAGGCCACCAATGTATTGTTGAAATGAGTTATTTTTCTTTGTACCAGGAATTTGAATCCAGAAGCAGTTAATCACTGAGCTACATTCCCATCCCTTTTTATTTTGAGACAGGGCTCGCTGAGTTGCTGAGGCTGGCTTTGAACTAGTGATCCTTCTGCTTTAGCCTCTGGAGCCACAGGGAATAGGGGCGTGAACCACTGTGTCCAGCTTGAAGAAAGTTCTATTGAAACACAGACACATCCATGGTCTATAGCTACACTTTTTATACTACCATGACAGAATTAAGTATTCAATATAGAAGCCATGTGCCCCTAAATACTTAAAATATTTCATTATATGATCCTTTACATAAAGTTTGCCTGTACCTGCATTAAAAGATTAATATTTCTGCCTGGGGTAATGCATATGCTTAGCATACACAAGGCCCTAGGTTCTATCTCTAGCACAACACTAAAAAGTAAACAGAAAAATAATATTTTTAAGTACTGTTCAAAATATCCAGATATTACAGATAACTCACTGAAAAAGAGACAAACTTATTAAGCTTAGTTTAACTTACGATTTAGACTGGTGCCCATTTGAAGTTTTAGCAGAAGGATTGTATCTTTCTGGAACAAAATAATACAGAATAACCAACTGAAATTGTCTATTTAGATCATAAAATATGTATGCAAAATATCTACCCTCAAAGAAATATAAACTGAAACAATTCTCCAACCATCACAATGGCAACACATTGAAGTCCAATAATATGACATTATTATAGCTACTTTTAATATGGGGAAAATGGGGGAAGAAACAGGCATACTCATATAGGACTGTTAATTCACACAATCTTTTGGGCAGGCAATCTAGAAATACTATTTCTGTATTTTAACTATGTTGCTACTGACCTATTTCAATGAAAGCAATTTTACATTACAGGGATATCTGGAGAAACACACGGAAAACACACACATGTAATAGTATGCTTTATAAAAGCAAAAAGTAGAACTACAAGTCCATCAGTAGAGGACCAGTTAAAGTTATATATATTACGAACCAGAGATTGAACCCAGGAGTGCTTAACCACTGAGCCACATCCCCAGCCCTTTTTTGTATTTTAGTTGGAGAACAGGGTCTCATTGAGTTGCTTAGGGCCTCACTAAGTTGCTGGGGCTGGTTCTGAACTCTTGCCTCAGCCTCCCGGGTCGCTGGGATTATAGGTTTGCGCCACTGTGCCTGGCTTAAACTACAACACTCTCACATAACACAATTTTAATATTAGAATGAATGAGAGCTTTATATTGATAGACAGGGTTAAAATAAATTAAGTGAAAAACACAAGGTAATAAAAAGCCAAGCCAAGCCAAATAAGACGTGGGGGTGCACACCTCTAATCCCAGCTACTTTGAGGCAGGAAGATCATAAATTGGAAGTCAACCAGAGCAATTTAGGAAGATTCTGCCTCAAAAGGAAAAATAAAGGGCTGGGAATGCAGCTCAGTGGTACAGCACATTCCTACAATGTGTGCGAGGCCCCAGTTCAGTTCTTAGTAACATACATACAAACAAAAAGAGAGAGGAGATGCAGCTTGGGATCACATCTGTCATAGTTAGCTTTGGAGCAAGAGAAGAGTTGTGGGGTAGAAGCAAGAATGAGATGTTCATAAATGAAGAGAGAAAATGGAAATGTTGTGGTTTATAGCTAGATATTTTCTGCATGTAAATAATATCAGGTCCCTTTTTTCTGTAAACTTGGCTACAAGGCAAAACTAAGATGAACATATAGAGAAAGTACAACAATAAAAGAGAGATTCTTCTAATTTTATCTCTGCATTAAGATAACTAAGCAAAAGATCAAAAAGGTCCCTATTTTCATCTCCCCAAATACCGTAAAACTAGTGCAAATCTACCTTACTTAAGAAGTTATTGCTCTTGGGCGGGGGTTGTGGCTTAGTGGTAGAGCTCTCACCTAGCACATGCGAGGACCTGGGTGCAATCCTCAGCACCACATAAAAATAAATAAATAAAACAAAGCTATTATGTCCACCTACAACTAAAACATAAATTTTAAAAAAGAAGAAATTATTGCTCTTGGCAAAAATATCTGGTTTGGGGCTGAGGTCCTAGCTCAGTAGTAGAGCACTTGCCTCACATGTGTGATGCCCTAGGTTCAATCCTTAGCACTATATAAAAATAAATAAAATAAAATAAAGTTATTGTATCCATCTACAATTAAATAGTAAAAAAAAATCTGGGCTGGGACTGTGGCTCAGCGGTGGAGAACTCGCTTAGCACGGGTGGGACCCGGGTTCGATTCTCAGCACCACATAAAAATAAAGGCATTGTGTTGTGTCCATCTACATCTAAAAAATAAATATTTTAAAAAAGTATTAAAAAAATCTGGTTTTGTTACAGAGCTATATGGTTGTCATGGTTTAAATATGAGATATCCTCCAACAGCTATTTTGTTAATGCAGGCATATTCGAAGGTGCAATAATCAGATTATGAGAGCTATAACCTAAACAGTCCACCCTAGTCTGAATGAATTAAACTGGGTGATAACTGTAGGCAGTTGGGGCAAAGCTGAAGGAAGTGGATCACTGGAGGCATGCCCAGGAAAGGTCCATTTTCTTTGCAGTCTCCCTACCTATACACACTCCATTTCCCAACTACAGTGAACTGAGCAGCTATCCCCCAACATGATGTTCTGCTTCATCTCAGGCCCAGAGAGATAGAACCAGCTGACCGTGTACTGAATCTATAAAAATGTGAGTCAATATAAATTTTTCTTCCTCTACATTGTTCTGGTCAGGTATTTTGGTCACAGTGATGAAACACTAACACAATGGTGAAGCCCAGAAATTTGCAATGGTTCCTGACCTTCCCACCATTATCTCTTGGGACCATACATGAACTTCCTAGCGCTGACTTCCCCTCAAGTTCTATCAAGAAGTTTAAGAGTTAGGGTGAAAAAAGTAGGGTTGCAGGGGATGATGGCAGGCTTTCTACACAGACCAGAAGACACAGGAAAAAATAAATGGAAAATGCACAGATACAGAAAGAGAAGCATCTTGGTCAGCTAAAATAAGGTGTTCTTGTCTAGTTTTATAATTATAGAAACACTTTATCTTCATCAAGGAAATGGAAAAACAGTGGAAAATGATTCTTGATTTATGAGATGCCCATCAAATTGAGTCTATGCACTTTCAACTATTAGTTCAAATAATAGAAGTTTATTGTGATCTATAATGACCTATAATATCTTGATTATTATAGCCATACCAATATTCAGCTCAATCCATTACTATTTATTGGATCATAAAATTAGAATAAGACATGCAAAAATAATTATTAAAGGAATTTAAAGCCAGGTGAATCAAATGCTCAATAAATAGCTTAATTTAAAAACCAGAAGCAAAAGATATACTCACTTTGTTCTCCAGGGCCAAAATTGGATTGCTGAGCCTCCTAAGGAAAAGGAACACAAAATGTACAAAGTGATATTCAGAAAGAAAGGTTCATTAGTAGACAATGCTCCAAAGTACACAAAAATGCTTCAAGTACATAAAAGAAAAAGTATTGAAAGAATGTAATGGCACCTGTCTAATTAGCCTTAGAATAAAATGTTCTAAAATGGATAGCTGTAGTGGTTTCACATATCTATAAATATATTCAAAACAAATGAATTGTACCCTTTAAATGGATGAATTAAAGTCCATAATGGACTTTACAGAGCTCAATACAAAAAAACATTTAAGCTCTCCATACTGGATACTTTTCAGCAGTATCCATGGTACTAATAACCTACATTAGAGAACTAGAGAGTAAATAATTTCAACTTAAGCTCTAGTTCTTAAAAAAATGCTTAATTTTTTTTAAAAAAGGTAATACTATAAAAATAGTATACTGGGTTAAAATGGATGTATTAACTACAGACATTCAAACTATACTGCTTTCATAGAAAGACCCCCCCTCCAAAAAAAAACCACTACATGAGTATTCCAATATTATTTTATTCCTTCCCTCTCCCTAATATCTTACAAATCATTAGCAACTCGAGGAAGAGACTATTATATACTACTTTCAAAAGTCCTATAATCACACCCTACATTCAAGAAGCACCAATGCAATAGAAACCAATATATCACTGTTGGTGAAAGAAACATGGCTTTGCAAATAACATTCATGACCAGGATAGCTGCTTTATATGCGAATTGTGCCATTTATCTAGGTAATATGTGCCAACAAGATGTGTTCCTAAAAATACACAGAGATCCCCTAAAAAGCCTATTTAAAAATAACCATACTTTTCATTTACTGACAGATTATCTGTGAAAGAACAATCCACACAGTAAGAAGGCTAAAATATAGTTTACTGTTAAAAAATGATGTAAACCTTCGTCTATAGTCAACCAATTTTGAAGAAGGGTGCCAAGACTAATGGAGAAAGAACAGTCTTTTTGACAAACAGTGCTAGGAAAACTGAATACTTACATGCAAAAGAAAAGAAGCTGGACCTTTATATCACACTACATAAAAAAGTTAATTCAACGTGGATCAAAGACCTAATTGTAAAAGCTGAAGCTATAAAACGCTTAGAAAACATAATGCCAAATCTAAACGGCTTTGGATTTTCAGAGAATTCTTATATATTATAGCAAAAGCATGAAGCGCACACACACAAAAATATATAAAATATTTGCAATTCATATCTGAAAATAGGCTAGTATCCACAATATGTATACAGCTCTTACAATTCAATGATACAAGACAACCCAATTAAAAACGAGAAAATGATCTAAATATACATTTCACCAAAGAAGACATATAAATGGACAGTAAGTACAAGCAAGATGTCTGACATCATCTGTATCAAGGAAATACAAATCAAACCCATGATGAAATACTGCTACACACTCATTAGGATGACTAGAATGAAAAAGATAATAGCAAGTGTTGACAAGGATGTGAAGAAATCAGAACCGTAATGGGAATATAAATGGGATAGATGCTTTGGAAATATTCTAACAGTTCCTCAATTGATTAAATAAAGAATTAACCATATACTATAGCAATTATATTCTTAGGCATATAACCAAGCAAAATGACATTTTTTTTTCCTTGCAGTACTGGGTATTAAACCTAGAGCCTTGTGCATGTTAGGAAAGCACCCAATCACTGAGCTACATCCCCCATCCTAAGTTAAATGAATGCATATGTCCACACAAACACTTCTACAGGAATGTTTATAGCATCATTACTCTTAATAGCTAAAAAATGAAACAACTCAAACAACCAACAGCTAACAGACATATACAATGAAATATTATTTGCCCCAAAATAGAATGAAGTACTATAAATGCTGTAACTTGGATACATTATGCAAAGTGAAAGAATTCAAGCACAAATAACCACATATTATAAGATTCTATTTAAATATAAGATTCTTTTTAAATATAATGTCTAGAACAGGAAAATTTATATAGATTAGTGTTCTTAGGGCTGAGAGAAAGAATAGAGGAAAAGGGGAAACAGATACAGTGTAAGGAATTTCTTTTTGATGTAATGAAATGTTCTAAAATGGATAGCTGTAGTGGTTTCACATATCTATAAATATATTCAAAACAAATGAATTGTACCCTTTAAATGGAATAATTACATGGTAAGTGAATTATATCTCAATAATGCTTTTTAAAAAATAGAAACAGAGCCAGGTGCAATGGTGCACACCTGCATCTTGGGAGGCTGAAGCAAGAGAATCACAAGTTCAAAGCCAGCCTTAGCAACTTAGCAAGACTATGTCTCAAATAAATAAATAAATAAAAATAAAAAGATTTAGGGATGTAGGTCAGTGGTTAAATATCTCTGTATTAAATCTCTGGTCCAAAAAAAAAAAAGTAAACAGAGATGTGGCCAAGAGATTCCTCTGGTAACTTTTAGAAATCGTGTTAAAAATGAAGACCCCTCTATTCCCTTGAACTTCTCTCGTACTCATTTACTTGGTAAAGCCTAAAATTTAACAGCTCAGGCTTCTAAGTAATCTGATTTTACTCTCATCTCTGACAATAGTCAGCTGGTCACCAAATACTACTAGATTCTGTCTCTACAATACCTACTAAAATTCAACATCATCTCTCCTGCATCTTCATAATCTTCTATTATGAAGACTTCAGGCTCCTTTTTCTTTCTTTTTTTCTTCTTTGCAGTACTCAAGATTGAACACAGGGCTTTACACGTTAGGAAAGCTTTCTACCATTGAGTTGATCCCAGCTTTTTAGTTGTTGATAGACCTTTATTTTATTTATTTATATGTGGTGCTGAGAATCAAAACCCACTGCCTCACACATGCTAGACAAGTGCGCTATACCACTGAGCCCCAGCCCCAGCCCCTGATCCCAGCTTTTTATTTTATTTTAGTTTAGTTTATTTTGAGACAGGGTCTTGTTAATTTGCCCAAGCTAACCTTGAACTTGTAATCTTCCATCCTCAGCTTCCGGAGTCACTGTGACTAGAGGCATGCACCACTAAGTTTGTCTTTAGGATCTCTTCTTGTTCATCTGATGGCCATCCAATGGATATTCCGGGTTCTAGTCTCTGAATCACTCAACTACAGGCTCCAATTTAGCTTCTTTAAACCCAAGTCTTATTTTACAGACCCTTCAATAGTTCTTTGTTTCTACTGGGAATGAAACCCAAACTCTGGCATTATACTTCATTCATGTATCTAAACACTGGGGAAACAGAATGATAAGCAAAAACAGACATGGGTCTTGCTCTCATGGAGCTTAGCAATTATTGAAATAATGCTGACAGTGAATACCGAGCAAATAAAATAAAGGTAAAATGGCAATGTGGTAAGTAATGAAGGGCAAACACATACAAAATATTATGTTAGGGTTTATAGTTGCATCTATGAAGAGATCTAGTCAGAAAGATGAGCAAATGCTCACTTGGGGAAGTAGTATTCAGGCTGATATGAAATGTATGTAGGGAAAGGACACAGGTAAGTGCTTAGGGGAGAGAGAAAAGTATGTTTAAGGGCCAGAAAGAGAATAGCACAGCTTGTATGAAGGCCTTAAAGGCAACCCAGGAAGAAGAAAAGATACCAGGGAAAGAGTGATCAGAAATGAGACTGAAAACCTAAAAAGCTACATCATATAGCTTAAAGACCATATTAAATGTGTGTGTGTGTGTGTGTAGTTTATTAAGCAAAAGAGTTACGCAATCACATCTGCATCCTGTGAAGACCATCCTGACTATTAAGTGGAAAACAGTTTTCAGGAAACTAGAATGAAAATAGATACATGTTCGGAGATTATTTTATAGTGGTACAAGTAGGAGATAACTATAGCTTGAATAAGCTGGTCTCGGAGCTTTTACATCATACATTCCATTATTAAGAAATTTTCCTGGGGCTGGGGATGTGGCTCAAGCGGTAGCGCGCTTGCCTGTCATGCGTGCGGCCCGGGTTCAATCCTCAGCACCACATACAAACAAAGATGTTGTGTCCGCCGAAAACTAAAAAATAAATATTAAAAAATGATAAAAAAAAAAAAAAAAAAGAAATTTTCCTCAGGAGGCTGAGATAGGAAAGATCACAAGTTCAAAGCCAGCCTCAGCAATGCAGTCAACTTGGCAAGACCTTGTCTCAAAATAAAAAATTAAAAGGGTCAAGTATCAAGTGCAGGAGGTAGGAGAATATTTTCCATTTATCTCCAAAATAAGCATATTGTATTACTATTCAACTACTATGTTAGATAAGATGCTTTTAATCTTAAATACCTTAGATTTTAAAGGATTAGAATAAAATAATATTTTTTAATCTACGTTTTAAATTCTATTAATTAATGACAGTGAAGCCTTTCTTCTACAAAAAAAAAAAAAAAAAAATCACACTTCAAAGGTCTGACAAAGATAGGCTTACCTTGATATATAGTTTCATTGGATGTCACACAGTACATAAATGGAAGGCATCCCAGGTTTACTGAATCATGATACTAAATTTTCAGTCCTATATCTTAAGATGCAAAAGTTTCTATAGCTGTTGAGCTAGTAGATTTCCATGTTCTCTGATATAAATCAGTTTTCAGGAAAATAAATTAAAAGGGCTGCATTTTAATTTTTTTAGAAAATAGGGTCAAAAGCTACTGAATTTAGAAAATTCTGTTTCCAAGTCTTTAAAGTTCATACACATGAGTCATTGTGATTTTTGAAAAGCAAAGAAATACGGGCTAGGGATGTGGCTCAAGCAGTAGCGCACTCGCCTGGCATGCATGCGGCCTGGGTTCGATCCTCAGCACCACATACAAATAAAGATGTATCTGCCAAAAACTAAAAAAAATAAATATAAAAAAAATTCTCTCTCTCTCACTTAAAAAAAAATAAAGAAAAAAGAAAGAAAGAAAAGCAAAGAAATATAAAATGAAATGAGGACATTATTGTTTAAATGTTATTTTCCTAGCATAAGC